GAGCGTTCGATTCAGTTGACCGCGAAGCTCTGATGGGTTCCCTCCTTTGAAAATGAATACCCCAGAAGTACGTTAACTTTCTGAGGTCACTGTACTCACGTACCTCTGGTCAAGTGAGGGTTTACAACAAACTAAGTAGGCCATTCATTACCAGAAGCGGCGTTCGTCAAGGGTGCCCTCTTTCGCCGTTCCTGTTCAACTTCTTCGTAGACGACATACTAGAGGACGCACTTACTGATTTCCAAAACGTAGCAATTGAATGAACAGCTGGAGAAAAGCTATGCGATTTGGCGTACGCCGATGACATTATCTGTCTGTTTGAAGGTTTGAAAGACGCGCAGAGCGCACTTAATAGACTAACAAGTGTGGTTGCCACATTCGGTATGTGCTTCACAGCTTCAAAGTGCAAAGTGATGCTGCAAGACTGGGTGTCGTCTAACCTCGCTCTGAAACTAAACGGAAAGGGATTAATTGTGGTGAATCACTTTTCATACTTGGGTAGCTGCGTGACCGATGACGGAAGCGCAGTAAAGGGATAGCGACTCGCATTTCAAAGGCTTGAGCAGCATACACAGGACTGAAACACCTTTGGCGTAGACGAGACGTTTCACTGAAGTGTCGTATACATTGTTAGCATTCGTTCAGCCCTGCTTCATGGTTGCGAGACCTTACATTTGTGAGTAGAAGGTATCCATCGACTAGAGGTTTTCGAATATTAGTGCTTATGTAGTTTAGCCCGCGTGGGATGAAGCGAAAGGGTTAGTAACGTGGAGGTAAGCCGTCGTGTGCCTGGGAGTCTGTCAGGCACATCGAATCCAGATTAGTAGGCTTCGCAGGCTAAGGCACATATTGCGTATGCCCAGCTGTCATCTGCCGCACCGCGCTTTATTCGCTGTAGCTAACCCGGACTGGAGGGAACCACGTGGAGGCCAACAGATGACGTGGAGACGAGACAAGAAGAAATGCACAGAACCATTAGATAGAGCAGGTGTCACGCGCCTTCCAGGTTGGGGTCCGAAAGACTCCGTAACTGGTTGGTTGAGGACATTGAAGGATATGGCAGCGAACCGACAGCAGTGACGTTCTTGTTGTCATTTCTTATCAGGCCTGAATGCTTGAAACGGTATGTATGTAAAGTTTGATTGTGCACTCTGTGTTGACCATAGTGGCTCTCCTTCTTCCCT